AAAAAAAAAAAAAAAAAAAAAAAAAGAAAAAAGAAAGAAACAACACCCATCAATGTTTTTTCTAACCTTGATGCATTAGTATACCCATCATTCCCCTACCCTCTTGTTAACACGTTGCATAATATTTGAACATAATGCACTTCTAAAACTTTAGTCACCAGTAGTTTATGACAACACCAATTTTTAACAGACCTGCATCTTATTGTTCTATGTGTACTACACATCTGACGATGTCTTAGCGTATAAAAGAAATTTTCAATTTTTTTTTTTTTCATGAATTATGATTAGATAGACTAATATTATTAGATAGAAAACTATTATAATAGAATTTTTTTTTGGATTAGTTAAAACATCGGCAGAATAGAATCCTAGAGAGCACGTTGCACTATATTTTGCGGTAGTTTTATTTCTGGACACCTAATTTTTTTAGAGGTTTCGGTATAAATATTTTTTTTCTTTTTTTGTTAGAAATAACTGTTTCCTTATAAGAAAATCTACAAGATGGGAATGTGGAATTTTATTACATTTAGGGATATTTATATTTGAGAAAACTCAAGAATGTTTAATTAAAAAAAGGATTTATTTAAATCCATCAATTAGTTTTTGAAATATTTGAAGAATAAATTATAATAAAATAATCCCTGATTCTCATCTTGTATATTTTCTTATAAAAATTGTTTCTAAAAAAAATACTTAAGCCGGAACTTCTCCTTAACGCACAGCAGCACACACCATATAATTTTTTTTCACTTCAATTTTACTTGGAGAATATCCTTGGCTGTTTTATGTTTTCCTTGCTTTATTAGTTTATTTCTGATTCTAATTTTTTCTCACTGCTTATTTTTCTATCTATCACCAACCGCTTTTGTTGTTGTTTGTTTTTAAATCACTGGTTACTATTCGTTAATCCTTAGTATCCGGAGTGTCTCCTTCAGACGTCAAACCTGGAACTGCCTAGCCGTTGCTGAAATGTCAATGCAGAGATTGTGCATGAAGTTGGAAAATTAATGGATCTCACCTTTGAACCCGTCTGTTAATTATGTCTTCCTTCGTAGACAAATAATTGCATGCACAACTATATTACCAAATTGTAAGTCCTAACTAAAACAGTTCACCTCGTAGAACAATCACTGTCAATGGTTACCGAATCCTGCTGTGCTTCACCTAACTATCTCCCCGATGATACTCAATTGTTTACGACCTTTGTTAATTATTCGGTATTTGGCCTGGTTCAAGTAAGACTCGACTTCGACTATACTACAGGTAAAGAAAAATTTACATATATTTTAATGTTTTAGTGTTTAAATTACGTTCGCACGGCAGGATCACGCTAACATGTTTGCACTATCATTGTATCTGCGCTGTTACCTTTACATGTACCTTACTGGGTGTGATTTATATATGTTTAAACAATCGATGCCACGCAATAGATTTGTAATACCATTAATTTACCAGACACGGACTGCGAAGGCTCGTGTGTATAAAATACGAAAAGGAAATAATTGGAACAATCGATGATCTGTCACAGTCCGTGTCACGTCATGTCAATATTGTTTCTCCCTCAGGATGGTGATCTGAACGCGAGAGCATACATACTCGACATACATCTTTGTTCCTATTCATAAAGTGTCAGCGACAGTGGCTGACACTTTGTTTCTAAACGATACTCGAGGCATGAAAATCTCTTCACTTACAGAATTATAGGTAAATAGTTAAAATCAATTTGAGTAACAGAGAAAGTATACAATTATCATCAGAAGTGAATGTTCACGATTCAATACTTTTCCTTCTTCTCTTTCTTTTTAATATAAAAATTTGTTTACAAAAATATTACCGTAACGTGTAAACGTTGTTCAGCCTAACGTCCAAAAGAAGTATATAGCTTTTCTTGTACAGATATCTTCATTTCTTTATTTCTTTTTCTATTTGCTCTTATTGTTACAACAATGACTGTCGAGCGAGATTTTCCAGTTCAGATTCACCATCAGGCACGCATACGCTATATAATATACACGCGCCACATGCGAGAACGGAAGATCCGGTGTCGTCACGAGTATACGTGGGCCTTTTTAACGCATCTAACTCCTATTTCTTAGTCATATTTCTCATTCGGGGTTTTATATAAGGCGATGTTAGGAAGATATGAAGAAAAAAAATAGTGTCAAGTTCGAACGAGTCGATCGCCGTTTTTTCAATCTTTTTTTTTTTTTTTTGCGAGCAAACGAAGGCAAAGAGTACAAATCGGACGAGCCGTTCCTCGACCACGTGCAAACGCAACAAGACTGACGAGTGGCCTCGGGGAACGATTTAAGTACTTTTTGCGTTCAAAAAAAAAAAGAGAGAGAGAAAGAAAGAAAGAAAAAAAAGACGAGACGATGAGAACGTTCTGTCTTTTTTCTCTATATTTTTTCTCCCCCTTTGTGTGTCCACCGTTCGTTCGACGCGACGAGTGCATATAACTAATTTAATTCTGCGTGAAACAGCGTCATCCGCAGTGTTACGATTAGTGTAACATATGAATACATATTAATTACCGGTTAGGGCGTGATACTACTTTGGTATAGGCATAACTAAACTTAATCAGACCTGTGAAAAGATCTGTAGGAAAAGCCGAATTGATTTGTACGATTCGTTTGCCTGTGTGCTTGAGGTGCAGCGGTCAGAGCGTACGCACCCCTAGACCATGCTTTCATTTTATTTTATTTTATTTTATTTTATTTTATTTTATTTTTTTCCTCTCTTCTGGACTGTATTCAACTGACTAACTTGTGTGCTTCATTTGAAACAGTGAGTTTTTGTACAGCGAGATATTGATGATCAAGCATCGGCACCATTTTGCTCGACAATCCTGTGCAAAAGGTAATTAACGGATGAAAGTAGAAAAAAAAAAAAAAAAGAAAATGAACGTTTAACGTATAACGTTTACGTTTTAAAATACGTAATTTCTCCTGTGTGTTGCCTCAAATTGAATTACCGTGTCAGCACAGCGATATCGCGAGGATCACGATGCCGATGCGATCAGAAAAAATGAAACAAAACAGTAAAAAGATGACGAAAATAATAAAACGGTCTGACAGCATTTTCATCGACGCTCAATAAACGTTGACGAAAGAAATATAGTACAGTTTCTTGCGTTCACTCGATGTTTCGAACGTTTGTAAGTACTTGCATATTGTGTGGATTGTGTTCTCTTCGTTCGCATTTTCTTTTAGTTTCTTTTATTTTTCGTTAAATTTCTTCCTTCTAATTATCTCTCATTGACGAAAGATCCGCGAGAAAGCAGCCGAGGAGCCGTAGAGAGTGCCATCGACGAAAGAGAAAGCCAACGCAGCGTTGGGCAAACGATCGAGACGCGATTCACGCGTTCGAGTCGCGATCCGCTTGCTGTCTTTTCGAGTGTATATCTCTTTCAATCGATGATCGAGAGAGAGATTATTTTAGAATTCGTTAAAAAAAAGAAAAATATATATATATATATACATATATATCTATTTTCACCCATCCTCGTAACTTAAACTTTCTCATTCATATCTCAAGAAGATATAACTCGAAACAAATTGGATAATAATTGGATGATACTCACTGAGAGAGAGAGAGAGAATAGAAAATAGGAAATCAAAAATTTCGTGTTTCTCGCAGGTGAATCGCGAATAGCTTGCCCAATGCTTCGATTAATCTAATCTAGTAGATATAGCTACAATGAAACCACGGTCACGTCGTTCGTGCAGGAAGTACCTATTTCTGATGATAATGAGATAATAATGATAATAATAATAATAATTAATAACTTATAATAGAGAGTGCGACTATATTGAATGATTTTTCTTTTTTTATGCATACTATCGCCACAAACGCACGTTGTGGCGAGCCGCGGTGTGTGATGATCCTAATTAATTAGATCCGGGTACATTCACGATCTAACGAGTAACCAGAACGCGGTTCGATCATGTACACGGAAAGAAGAAAATATAAATAATAATATAAATAATTATGAACGATTGCGAGTTATTCGCAGGATCGCTATAAAACGGAACGATCTATATATAAATATATACATAAATATATTATACGTGTATACTAATATGTCGATTGACGATTGTAAATTAACAAAGAAACAACGTTCGATCGACTTACAGCCGACAGGTATTTTCACCTGTCGTTAGTAAAAAAAAAAAAAAAAAAGAAAAGGTTTATTTATCAGTTTGTTTTATTTATTTATATACACATACATAGAAACAGACACGTACAGAGGTTCGATTCATGACCAGAGAAACAGTCGCAAGTGAAAGTAAATATCGCATCATGACCACTCGATTAATCTCGATATGATGATTAACAACGGGTCTGATCTAGTGCGTTATATTTGTTGTAATAAGAAAGAAAGAAAAAAGAAGTGATGTGTTATTAATGCGTGTTCGAAATTCCAATGATCGGCCTACCATTACGAGTTAGAAATCGAGAAGAATATGATATATATATAGAGAGAGAGTGGCATTTGCCGCGTGTACGAATATTGAACACTTAATACAATGTGAACTGTAATAAGTGTTTGCCTTCATCCACGTTTTTTAACGACTATTTTATGCCTTCTTCTTTGTCCATCAGTCACTTTTTTTCTCTCGTTCCCACGATCTGTTTAGATATTTCATCTCTTATTGTACTATGACCCTCCGTACTGTGGCTAGCGATTTCTAGGTGTGCATGGTACATTTAAAAAACAAAAGAACATCTCTTCTGTTTTCCTAGCATTTTTATTCAGTTATTTATTAGGGTTGGAGATCAAGGAAATAAAAGGTTTTTGATCACTCGGTGTGACTTTATTAAATTTATTTTATTCCTATATTTTTCAATTTTTATTTTAGTTTTTTCCTGCTCTTTTTTTTTTTTTTTTTAATTGAATTTTGTTTACAAGATGTTTAATCGACACTTTAACATCCCTAGCATTCTATTAACTACGAAAACCTGGATTACAAACTGCTCCAGGATGTTATTCGTTCTGTTATTCGTTAGCGATCAGACGTGCAAAGAAAAATCATCGAAAGGATTTGAAATTTGTAAGAATTCGCTCGTAAAGCAAGAAGTGGACCAACTCGAAGCTCCTAACACAAATCCATTTCAGTACATCATCATCACCGGCCATTTTGTGTTATCCTCGGAATTGTTGTTTGAATTTTTTGCATGCATCCTTTGGACAGATAAAAACAAAATAAGAGAAAAAAAAAAAAGAATATCAATACAAAACTATAACTGTCGTGTTGGCCTGGAATGACTGATCGAAATAAAAATGTATACATATACATATATATATATATATATATATCTACTCCTAATCGAAGAAGTTGACCCCGACACACTTTTTTTGCTAACTCCTGCCTGCTGGTGTGTGAAAACTATTCAGTCACAGAAATAAAAAAGGCCAACGTGATCTCGGAGTAAAGATCTCCACACCCACGCGTGGATCGATCAGGTAACAGTTTCACTATTCTCATTGTTTCTTAATTTATGTATTTTATTCGTTGCCCCTTGCCCTTTGAGAAAACGCCACGATACATGACATAATGTATATGACAAATACTGTGACAATGAAGAGAAAAGAAATACGACTCGTGTGTATAGAGGTTCGAGTGATTACCTTTGCCTTAAAAAGGAAAGCGAATTTATGATATTTCGCCAGCTGTTAGTTTCGTTTCAGACAGTTCTTGATTGATTTTTATAGCAAGCTTCGGATGCTATTTTCTATGATGAATGATCTTTTAATTAACGCGCTGCGTTACACCTGATGAAAGAGTATCTTACATTTGGAATTGTATAGTTGATCATTTTATCAAAGATTTTCAATTTTATCTATAGATAATTTATAGTCTGTAGTCAACTCTTTTGTCGTTTTCTTTCCTTAAAAAAAGAAGAAAAAATTAATAAAATCATGCTGAAAAAGTCGTAAATATCAAATGGCATATTAAAAAAAAAAAAAAAAAAAAAAAAAAAAAAATAAAACGCAGTGCGTTAATAGATAAAGCTCAAAATATTCCGATTAGACGATCTGTCGCGGTTGTTTAAAATTATTCGAATTGAACTGAATGACACACAGACCAGAACCACGCGCACAAGAAAGGAAAATACAATGGACGAAAAAGGACGTTACAGACCCGGCAATTACGATATCTGGCATTCGGGGAACAATGTTTTGAAACGTGTGGTTGTTCCCCGGTTGTTCACGGTTTCTTGGTGATTAATCGAGACTACGTGTGATATGCTTGCAGTGGCACCGCCTGTGACGCCGCCGAAATAAAGCTCGGGAACCGCGATAGGACGAAAATCGACACCAGTCCGGACACAGAGAAAAAAATCGTCAGAATGGCACTTGTAGACAACACCCACCCAAGCAACAACAACCCGCAAGCTGACCGATGGGATCGAGCCGAAAACAATAAATCTTATCAGACACTATCGACACGTTATATACTGACACACGCATATGTACACACACACATATACATCGGTCAACACACGGTAAAGCTATACAGTCGTACAGAGAGAAAGAACAGGCGAAATGAGAGAACTACAGAAACGAGGGGGCGTGTTTTTCTCTTTCGTTTAAAAGAAAAGAAAAAAAAAAAAAAAAATACAGCGATCCGTATTTTTGGTGAAATGAGTATGGCGAGTTTCGATGAGGTTTCAACGTAAACGAGATCCGAGTGTCCTGAGGTTTGGGTGTTCTCTTGGTGCGTTGACGCGTTTATCTTGGGTGATTTCCTGTGTTTATCCCTCGAGCCCGATTTTCAAAGAAAAAGACGTTAATTAAATATTTAGTGAAGGAAAAGACAACGTATATCGTCGAACGTGTCGATATTTCAATCTAATCACCTAATGCAGAGTCCATGAATTGTATATCAATAAAATATATATTTCAATATATATTCTATCCGTGAAAGAAACTGTTTTCAGATTTCTCGCTATACTCGTTCCACCGATTACGCTCAATATAGTGACCCGCGCCTTGATAGAAGGGGTGTTCAGAGATAATAGAGGAAGGAAAAGGAAAATTCACATTCGAAGAGACAGGGATGAGGAGGGTATTGGTCATTCGTGACGATTCGAAAGAAGATCGAGAAACTTTCAGGGGAAAAATAAAAAGAGAAAAAAATGAAAACCAGCGGAGCTTCAGATCCAGGCTTGAAAAATCCAGAAGAAGGATTCGAGTTCTCGAGGGTGGTATAGATGCACAAACGACCGTCTAATCGGATCAGCTTCCCAAAGTTAATCCGCTTGAGAGATCGACAAGGAGATTGAAAATGTCTTTGCGACACTTTGTGTATAGAAGGAATCGAACTAATCGTTGTGTGCCTATGTTGTTATGTTGCAGTAAGCGAAGTGGTTGTCGACAAGTGGGTCTAGGCTTGTCTCACCGTGTGCCACCGGCAACAAAATTCCTCTGCCAAGCATAAATCAAAGAGCAAATAGTACCCACACACACACACACACACATACACGCAGACGTACATATACACACATATGAAAAGAAAGCAATTAATATCGATAACAATAATATAACACTGTAACGGAAAACTAGGAGAGAAGAGAACGCGGAGAAGAAGCAAGCGGAGAGGTACCAACTTGCGCGATTTTCAAGGAACCGAATTCAGAAAGAAATTCCAGAGAAACTCGCGCGAGCGTTGCGACAATGTGATAATTACGAGTGAGAATGAAAGACAAACGGGAGAAGAAAGATAAAAAAATTAAGATGATTTTTCGGTTGAAGATTTATTACCTACTGTAACGTTAGAGCGATTGGTCTGCGTCGGTAATACAGTGTGGAGTTAAAGTAGGTCGCTCTGTTATATTTTACACCTGATTCCCGATTCCCCCTGGCTGGCTGTCGCGTTACGCATTGCCGCTTGCTTTTCCGTTTTATCGTCCGCGAGAGGATTTTTATTCGTGTATTTTCTTGCTCTTCGTTACAGAAAACGTACATGTAACATATTTATATCGTGTTGCACTGTGTCATTGGTGAACGAGACGCGGCGAAGAGGATAAGTTTTTAGAAGACAATCGAAACTGTGTTTTCAAATTGGGAATAAATAAATGGAAAGAAGGAAAACTCTGTTTTAGATCTTTCGATCGACAGCATGTTTTATATATATATATATATATATATATATATATGTAATTTTTTTTTTTTAGAGTCGCGTAACGATAGAGAGTAATGCCGACTTCTATTATATTATATTCTATCTCTTCCCTTAAAGAAATCTATCTTTTTTTTTTAATTTACAACTAATCATAATTCTTTTTATCGAGCAAGGAATCCATTCGCAATTTATTTCACATTTCTAGCGCTTTCTTCTTACGAACAAATCTTCTTTTCCCTTTCTTATTCTTTTTCTCTTCTCGTAACTTCTCTTTTCTCTTCTATCCATCTTCCTTCTTCCTCGATCTTCTTGATTCACACCCTCTCTCGCAACATCCATACGTTTCTTTTCTTCAATCGTGTCTTCTTGTCATTAACAATGTTAATCGTTACCCTCAAAAACACTATATTTTCTACTGAAAAAAAAAAACATACTTTCTACAGAGTGCCCCAGTTTTTTTTTTGGCCATACATTGCTGGTACATTCCATAGATCAATGTAAGAAAAAAAATATCGTTGAGGGATTGTAACAGAATGAACAATCTAATGATAGTCAAAAAGTGTCATAATATTTCCACAACTTCAACGTTGTCTTATTGCCGAAATTTTAAATTTTCACAAACATCATTGACGAAATGGAACCTAAATAGAAGATTCATTACTAAAATTAATACTTTTCTTTGAATATTTTATATATTTTTGCACAATCTGTGCATTGTATGTATTTCCTCAGCTTCAGATTTTCCATAAATGCATAAAAATTCGCAGTCTACTCACGAGAAACTAATTACAAAAATTAATTATTAATTTGTTGAATTAAAACGAAGGTCAGAATAAACTTTGAAAAATAATGAGCTCAATTTTTTATTACTGTTAGCCTTGCGTTGTCAAGAATAGCTAATATTTCGAAATGAAGTTGAAATATTATTATACTTTCTGAGACAGGTTACTAATAGAAATGAGTATCATGGTAAAGTACGTTCGTTATTGTTCATTTCATTGATAACGAAATCGTATTCGTATATGATATAACAATCGTATATAATAATTAAGTGTTATTAAAACAAATTTCGAGCGTGCAGCTTGGAAAATTCGAGCTACGGCTTGAATCTTAAAGTTTCAAATATTGAGCTGTAAAAGCTGAAGTCCTCAAAGCTCGAACTCTTAAACTTGAAAACTTACGTTATCTAAATTGAATACAATAAATAGTGTTATTGATTATTACATATGCTAATGATAATAACTATTATTCATAAAACGAACGTTAAGACCTAAGTCTTAAAGTTTCAGAAACTTGAGCTTCGTGTAATATTAATTTTAAAAACTCGAATCGCACAACCGGGTGTTTTGAATTCATCGGAATTGTAGATACTAAATATTATCCAGTGAAAATTAATGAAAATAAAACTATTCTATGAATTTATGATTTTTTGTTGATTTACAATTAGTATAGAAAACAGTGTTGTCGAAGTCTTGAAACTTCAAAGACTTGAGCTTTGTACGTCTGGGACTGCTATTTTTAATGACACATGTTTATACGACACGATTATTTTGGCATATAGAATATATTGGCAACGTTTGGCCGGGGAAAAAAATTGTGATACTCTGTATGTCATCTGGAAAGATTTTTCCCAATACGTTCAAGGTTCCTATTAAAAACCACTCCAAATAACTACGAAACGCTTGAGTGGACGTCGAACGTCTATGAGAACGCTTGGAAACGTGCGTTCTATACGTTTTCCGCGAAAACGATCGTCACATCTCAGTCATCGAGGATGTCGTTGCCAAGATGACCGAATTTTGGGTCTTTCCACTCCAATTGCATCACGCCTCGAACAAGGAAAACAGCCATCGAGATGAAGAAAGCGGCAAATGGTCGGCCTTTCAGAAGGCAGAAAAGAATTTCATCGTTAAATGTTCGATCAAAATTCATTGAAATCAAATGTCTATGGAAGCGAAGAGAATGCTCGGCTATGCAGGGTGAAATTTACAATGACATTGGAGGACAATAAGGACGTACACGCAGCGAGCAACAATGGAAGAGCAGTGAAAATCAAAAAGAAGTGTTTACCTCCCTTTTTGCCGTTGTATCGTGTGCTATATGTTTCTAGGACAAATAAAAGTATTTAAAAATGGTTATCGGTGACGTAACTTTCAACGGAGGGTTCCAGCGAAACGATCATCGTCTCCATTGAGACGATGGTGGTTATGTTTCATTTACTCGTTGGAATAATCGCGGAGGTCTCCTGACGCTTGATGAAACTTACGCCACCAAGGGAAAGAATTAAGAAAGAAATGTCGATGATAATAAACATACACAAAAACACACACACACACACACAAAAGAAGAAAAAGTCGCGATATTTAATTACTGTACATAAAAAAAAGAGTAATGAAGAGATACGTTGTCACACGCGATGTTTAAAGAGAAATTGTTTATTATTATTATTATTATTACTATTATTATTATATATTAAGATTAAGAGACATTAAATAAATATATATATATATTTTTTTTTTCTTCGTAAAGAAAGCGCACAGATAGCCGCAGGCCAGAAACGCCTCTCGAGCGAGAATGATTTAGAATCGACAGAAATAGAGAAAATCCGGATCCCCTGTGCTTTTTCTTTCTCACCTTCGTTTTCTGATCTTTTTTCTTTTCTCGATTTCATTTGTTTTAATGTTAAGATGGAATTAACTGCCTGTGAATATTTCTGATTGTTAGGAGAGAAAAAAAGAAAAAAAGAAATGAATCTTTCTTTTACCTTGGTTCCTTCTTTCTTCAATCTGTTCCCTATTTTGTTCATGTCAATGGAAAATGTCGCCACTCGATTGGATAGTTCTTTTTCTTTTTTTTTTTTTTTTTTTTTTTTTTTTTTGCTTTATTACTATTATTATTATTATTATTATTTTTTGTTAAAATCCTCGTTCAGAAATAATATTAGATAGTTGGATGTAGACGATAATTTGAGTTAGTCGCGAATCATAGTGAAAACTAGCGTAACGAGGAATTCGATTCGATTATATTCACCGTTCCTGCCAGGAAGAAGACCAGTGACTCTTGTTGCAGTTTGTTTTGCAAGATTTTTTACTCGAGATCTTACGAGAAAGTATTAGGTCATGTAATAAATTCGTTCACCTCTTGGTTACATTTCTTTTTT